GAAATTAAATTTATTAACATTCTTGCTCAATAGCAGAGTACTTGTTCACATTTTATCTGCAAAAAATCAAAGAAAAATTATTTATTTAAATAATAAATATCTTATTAATTATGAATAAATTCATCAGTTCAAATTCTTCATCCAAAAAAGTGATAACTGAATAACACCTATAGTTTGGAAGATGAGAACAAGGGACAAATCTTGAAGAAAAGGGACAACCAAATTAAAGTTGCCTTCCTTTTTTATGGTCCTTGACTCGCAAAACTTGTGAGGATTATACATCTAGTTAGTATTATTAAAACCTCATACCTTCTTTTTTTGAATGCATGATGATCTTCATTCTAGATCTGAGCAAATGGATGACAAGCTTTGTTTTAGATTTGAGTAAACGGATGATGAAAAACAGTGGATTGGTCAGAGCTTCAAATGGACTAGGCGGATTTCAATGAATAATAGCAAAATCATGTTGAAATATAGGCGAACAAACTGGGTGAGACAATGGAGAAAAAGAGAGAAAACTATCAGTGTGAGTTGAAAATGAAAATGAAAGAAGAAACAGGGCATTAAAAAGAAGCATATATGATGGGCTTTTAAATCCCTATCATATATAGTTTTAAAGGAATAAATGATGGGTATTTAAATGTTCATAATTTATTACCAAATAAATGGCGAGTGTTTCAAACACCCGTCATTTATTGTGAAGACTTTAAATGACAGTTGTTTGAAAAACTCATCATCTAAAGTTTAATTTTTTTTAATTTTTTGAAAAAAATAGATTTGAAACTTTAAATGACGGGCAAACATCCGTTATTTATTATGAAAACTTTAAATGATGGTTGTTTAAGACACCCGTCATTTAAAGTTTAATTTTTTTAATTTTTTTAAAAAATAGATTTAAAAATTTAAATGATGGGTTTCTCAAACACTTGTTATTTATTTTAAAACAATAATTGATGGGTATTTTAAACACCTGTTATTTATTTTCTAACTATCACCTACCTCACCTTTATATGACATTTTTTTAATCATCATTTTTTTGGCATTTTATATCAGCTTTTTGTTAAAACTTGAATAAACTATTGTTAATTTCGAAAGAGTTATTAAAACTTAAATGGATACTTGTTCATGAAGGACTAACACTTGCACAATTAACCTCATCTTATTCATTTTTCTAAACTGTTAAAGCCCCAAATGAATTCTTTTAATTATGAATGTATTGTTGCAAAAAACCGAATGGATACTTATTATTGACAATTGAAAGCATAGATCCAATGGAACAAGTGTCTAAGCAACAATAATGAATTTGAAATTAACAACAATCTATTCAAGATTTAACAAGTTAAAAAAATGAATAGGATTGGCTTAATTGTAAAAGTGTTAGTTCTTTATCAACAAATATCGATTCAAGTTTTGACAACAACTCATTCAAAATTAACAACAATCTACTCAAGTTTTAACAAGTTAAAAAAACTGATAAGATGTGCTTAATTGTACAAATGTTACTCTTTCATCAGGTTTTGACAACAACTCATGCAAAATTAATAACAATCTATTTAAGTTTTAATAAGTTAGAAAAATTCATAGGATGAGCTTAATTGTATAAGTTAATATCTTTTCTCAACAAATATCCATTTATATTTTGACAATAACTCATTTTAACTTAACAACAATTCATTTGGTCTTTAAAAAGTTAGAAAAATTGATAGGATAGACTTAATTGTACAAGTGTTAGTCCTTCATTAATAAATATCCATTTGAGATTTCATAACAATAAATTCAAAATTAACAATAATTTATTTAGGCTTTAATGAATTAGAAACGAACATGATAGGATTAATTGTAAAAGTTTTTATTTCTATATCAAAAAGTATCCATCAAATTTTAACGACAACTCCTTCAAAATTAATAACAATTTATTATGATTTTAACAAAAAGCTAATAGGATGAGATTGATTATACAAGTGTTAGCATTCATCAATAACTATCCATTCATGTTTTGACAACAAATCATTTTGTGATTAACAACAATACATTCAAACTTTAACAAGTAAAATGCATGAAGTTTTAAAACTCCTAATTTATAATTAATTATGTCAAATTAACAAGTAACATTAGTTAAATAACAAGTGTTGTTATGAAATTAATAACATACCATTATGTTAAAGCATGAAAGTGGTTTAGAAATTTAGATTGCTACATATATTTTTTTTCTATGTATAATTAAACGGGCCACCTTTTGCTATGTATAAATAAATGGGCGACCAAACTTTTTTAGGTGGCCAAAGGCTTGTGGAATCAATCCCCCTTCTGGCCACCTTTGCCAATTTAAAAAAAAGTATCGTCAATGTTAGAGCTTTAATGATCAACTGCCAACAACCTTAACGATGATAGAGCATTAGCGACCTCTTTAACAGCAAGCAATGTTTTGAAACTCGGACCAAACATCAAATCAAAAAGAGCAGCGAGTCACAGTTCTCATGTTCAACCGGTTAGACTGATGGTTGAACCGGTGACATAAAAATTAAATAAAAAATAGTATTTATATGCATATATATCTATATATATAAAAGACATTAATTTGACCAAAAAAACAATAATATATCAAGCAAGACCACAAATTCATATTGCATAACATGTTTTAATTGCTCAAAATCTCAAACAATGACATTATGTAACACCCTCAAAAATTTACAAACCGATTTTTCGCAAATCATTAATTCAATAAATCATTTTTTTAACCCTCATCATACCCTTATCATGGTAGAAAAATTTCTACCATGGTACATCCAAGACAATATACCATAGGTCTTAAAATATCTCAAAAAGCAATTAGAACCATGAGGGACAGACAGGATTCTCATGACATGATATTTAAATCAGGTCATGAATCAAGAGGGACAGACATAATCCTCTTGGTCATATAAATACTTTTAATAAAAAGAATTAGAGTTTACATGCTTCACAAAGAAGATATGTCCTAAGTTGGCACAAGATACATTGTATAATTCAAAATAAGAGGCAACGTAAAAGATGATGTCTCATACACCATAGTTACACCTTTGGTGCTTTCTCGGTCGTACTTGCTCCTGTAAAAATGTTAACCACGAGGAATGAGACTTAAAAGTCCCAGTAACCAAAAATTAATATGTAATGATGCATGCGGATGTAACTAATCATGTGATTGCTAAGTGGGCACACAAAACATTTAACCGAACAATATTTTCAAACAAACCGAACAAGTATTTAATTTGCATGACTGCACCTTATATCCTCCTTTCGCCATGCTCAGACGCCAAATCACCCAGCCAAAGGTGAGTTGGACCAAGCAACACGCCACTCATTGGGTCCAATGAGGGCTTACCACGTGGTAATAATTAACCGAACAGAAATTCCCATTAACACCATATATTAAAATACCCTGACAAGTCATGCATCATTCAAATATCCAAACAGGAATATATCCGAACAATAATATCTCATCATGATAAACAAAAATAAATTTTTAACCCACTTGGCAATAATTTCAAACAAGTATATACAGTATTTATTTTCAATAATTCATAATTTTTCCAAACAACAAAACAACACATAACCATTCACAAACACACCCATCACAACACATTAATAATGGTTACCTTGTGTCTTGAATAACAAGTTCCCCTTCACAACTCCTTTTTCACCACTATCTTTGTCAATATAATCTACATAATTATTTCACAATGCTATATATTAATTTTATATTAAAATAATAACTCTAATTTAAAGAGTTAGAAAGTCTTAGATCTATAATCCATATTAACATTAATTTAAAATTTATGCCTCATTTAACTTACCAAATTCTTTTCTAAAATTCTCGTACCCTAATAAACTATATTTTTTTTATCCTCAAATCACTTCTAGTATCACAATTTCATTCTTCTATATTTTAAAAAAAAATTCATCCAAAAATAAATTAAAAATTTTAAAATTATCCTGAAGCCTCAAATCACCTTTCTATATCCTTAAAAATATCTATTCATACTTAAATAAATATTTAATAATCAGAGGTTCATCCCTACATCTCAGATTCGACATAAATTCAACCATATAGATCTAGAGTTTAACTCAAAAATTCTTAAATATGAGTTTCAACCTCAAAAAAATATTCTATAATATTTATTATATCCCTAAAAGCTTTAACCTATATAGAAAAATCTTAATCAGAATATTTACTCTATCCTACAAAATAATTATATCACTAGAAAGCTAATACTATTTAGAAAATAACTATAAAATTAATTTTTTAATTAAATAATTTTTTTTAAATGCTAATCTAAACGAGAAAGTTAGAACATACCTGAAGAAAAAGAAAATAATCCCCCCTTGCGAGAAAACGCCGAGCAACGTGAGAGGAAGAGAGAAAAATAATATAAAAATGGGATTGTGAGTTCCAAAATTATATTAAAAAAAACTATAGGTCTGAATTTAATTATTCAAACCTTTGGGCCATAAGTTGCAATTTCTTCTAAATTGCATCTTAGCCTTTCATGCTTCCTAATGCACACACCCCCTCCTTTTTATACATGAAGGCACCTCTTCTCTTCCCTCATCTAACTAATATGGGACTTAGAAACAACAACTTTCCACCCCCCCTTTTTTTGTTTCTTCTACCTTTTTTTTAACACACACAAAAAAAAATTATTTATGTATTATATCTTAACTAAATATTGCTTATGTGGTTTTAAATTTAAATTTTTAAATTCATAATTAAATACCTAACCATAATATTATTTCTAAATAACCTCAAATAATATAAATTCCTATTATTATCATTTTTTTTTCAAAACCTAAATTCCATAATTTTTTTATTATATAAAAATCAGGATGTTACACATTACAAATCCAAAATATAATTTCAAACATTTCTAATTGCTCAAAGTCTCAAATAAAGATATCACAAATTCAAAATATATGTCTCAAACATATCATTGCAAAGTCCACAACATCATAAATTTAAATTTTCATGGCTTATCAAATATTGGGAGATCTTGGTTAATCCAAGCATGTGCAGGCTCAAAGGCATCAACATCTTCACTAAAGCTATCAACATCCTCTTGAGAAAATAATTGTAAATCAAGTCCACCAATAGCTTCACCATGTGCCACGTTGCCTCTTTGCTCATTATCTTCACAAACAAACATTTAATGTATATAATCAAATTAATGAGAATCACATGTTAAGTGATAAAAAAAAGTGAAAACATTAAGTAAAGAATACTAAACCTTCCTCATCCTCTTGATGAATGATAGCTTTTGGTAGCACTGTGTCATCATAAATGAGATCTTGTTCTATATCATCAATATTGAGTAAAGAACAATCATCTTCTTCCATTACCCAATAATCAATCTAATCAATACTTTCATAATTAACAGGGTCCAAAGCTTTCTTCTTGTTAGCACTCTAATAAAAACACATGATAGTAACAAAGCATAAGGATTCATGTAATTTATTTTTTATAACTACAAATGAAAGCCAAATTTTAAATAATTTACCTATTCCTTAATAAAAATTGTAATGAATATAGACAAGATCATTCAATCTTTCATGCTCCAACTTATTCCTTTTCTTGGAGTGTATTCTTTCAAAAACACTCTAGTTCCTTTCACAGCCTGAGAAAGATGCAATTTGGCCTAATATCTTAATAGCCAAGTTTTTAACATTTGGACAGCTGTTCCTAAAATGTTTCCACCATTCATCTATCATGAGAAAAAATAAGTCATTAGAATATATTTTAAAGATAAAAGTATACCAGGTCGCATGGTTTTTGTAGATTCTATAGCCAATGGATGACTAAAGCTTCCACACCTTTTTTGGTATTATGCACCTTCTAACAAAAACTTAGTCTTATTAGAAAAAATTTTCTATCTATCACATTAATATATCCTTGCATAACCTCTGGCTTTCTAGAAAAATTTTCCTTATCATAAAGGAAAGCAAGATTGAAGAGATATGTTGCTGCATAAAGATTTTGTCGAAGTTGAAAATCCCACGTTCTCTTAATAATACTTGTGTAAGGCTTGTATAATGATTTTTTGTGCCTGAAAATATTCTTTATAGCTCTTTTTTCCCTGTACATGCCATCATAAACATAGCCAATTGAATACCGGTCATCAGAATCAATAATTCTCAACAATCTCACAAGTGGTTTTACAATTTCAACAACAGTTTTACAATTATTCCAGAATTGATTGTCCAATACAATCATTACCATATCCTTTTCCTTTGAATCCTGGTAGTATCTAAATTCTACAAATGTCTTACTTGTTATCAAAGCTTGAATATCATGCTTGTGCTCATAGATACTTTTCAAGGCAATAAAAGTAGTGGCAAACCGTGTTGCACTGAGGCGGATGATTTCTGTCCAACCTTCTCTTTTCCTTAACCAAGCTAGCAAAAAGACATAGTTGTAAATGAATTTTGAAACCATGGATTCACGTGTTGCTAAGCTACTAACAATCTCCATTTTGCTAATATATGATAAAATCAAATTTAAGCAATGGACAGCACAAGAAGACTAAAAAATAAAAGGAAACTTATCATTTAACAACCTTCCAGTAGCTTTATAATTAGTTGCATTATCAGTTAACAAGTGAACAACATTATCTGCACCAACAAAAGCAACCATATCCATGAAAAAATTACAAAGATTTTGAGCATCCTTAACAATATTTGATGCATCAACAGATTTAATGAAAATCATTCCTCCAGGGTAGTAAATAAGAAAATTAATCAACTGCCTATTTCTTTGATCCTGCCAACCATTAGCCATTATTGTACATCCAGTCTCAGCCTAAAAACTTCTACATTCATCAACCAATAATTGCACCTCCTTTTTCATGTCTTGCAATAATTTGGTTCTCACAACATGATAAGTTGGTCCTTTATAACCAGGGCTAATAGTTGAAATAACATCTATCATGAGCTGATAGTAAACAGAATTTACAGCATTCATAGGAATGCAACAATCATACAACTACCTAACCACAGCTAAATCCGCTCTATGCAAAGCTTCTTTACCTGTAAATGCACTTCGAATTCCTGGTTGTGCTCTTGAGCTTATCCTTGGGGCAAAGAATTTGTCTCCAGCTGCAGATGCCTTTTTTTTAGCTAATTGAGAGGAACTTGAAGGAATTATTTCTTGCATAATTTCATCATCCACTTCTAATGGATTGTCCTCTTCTTTTCTTAATTTCTTAACTGGTCTCCTTTGACCAATTTCTTTCAAGTTTTCCTCTAATCGATAGCGAACATCATGTGGCACACTTTTACAACTAGTTACATCTCCTTTTTTTCTAGCAAGGTGTTGTTTCATTCTATGTATTCCACCACCACCAAATTCCTTTCCATAGTATAGGCATCTTAAGCGAGGTTTGCGACCTTTTTCTTTTGGTATTTTAGTGCAATGCTCCCATGTAGGATCAAACTTAGCTCTAATAGATTGTGTAGATACAGCACTAGATATTTGTTCAGATGACATTTTTTAAATTTAAATTGAAAGCACAGATAAAACGTGAAAAAGAGAGCAGAGCCAGGAATTAGATCATATTCAAAATTCCATATCAATAAATAACAAAGCAATGAAAAATAAAGCAAAAAAAGCTAGCTGGAGTCCTGGAAGAATCGTGTATACATACTACTCATTATACAAACTCAAGTATATAGATAGAACATAAAAGCTAGAAATCAAACCTGGAAGGAGAGCAGAGCACACCGAGAATCAAAAAAGCTGGAGCAAAATGAGAATCACGCAGATACAGAGGCACGAGTTAAAGTTAGGAGGAGCTGGAGGCAACTTGAGTAGAGGTAGAGGCAGCGGTATGAGCTTAGAGTGGCGAGCAAGACGAGAATGGCTGAGAATGGTGATGAGAAATCTAGGTTTGGGCTGAGAATGGCGATCAAGATGCGAGAAGGGGATGAATCAAAATCAGAGTGCAAGATGAGATTTGAGTGAGATTTCAAATTTAAAGCTTGATCAATTGATTGGAGATGAGAAACAGAGAGAGGCAAGAGAGAGACTAGAATTACTAGAGGCATGACATGGTGAGTCGATGAGAGATGAGTCTTGATCTCTGAGTCTGAGGGTGTGAGAGTGAGAATGAGACTATGACTCTGTGAGTATGAGAGGTCAGGTCAGGTGAGCCTTGATTGTGAGACGGCGAGATAACGAGATGGCGAGAGTAAGGTCTTAGGTCAGAGACTCAAAGGTGAGGTCTTAGCTAGTTAGCTCTCAGGCTCTCAGCTCACGTTTGTACCTCTGTGGAGTTTAGAGTGTTGCACGACGATAATTGTCGGTTTGTGGCTCTGTGGTCTATGCTTTGTGCCTTTGTTTCTTCATTTCTTAAGTCTTGGTCTCTTGGACGAGTTGCATACATACGACGGTATAAGCCCTATTTTTTTATTTTTTCACTTGACCCAAATTGACCCATATTAAACCAGCTCTGGGTTTCGGGTCAACTCTGGTTCAATGAAAACTAGACAACTCTGTTTGGGTTAATCCAATTCAACAAATTAAGTGGTTCAATTGGTTGAACTAGTTCGCTTTACTTAGCGGGTGATGGTCAAACCGTCCGGTTCAGTCCGAATTTGACAATACTGTAGCAAGGTCTCTGACAGTGATTCAATGGTCAGCCCTAGTAATAGTTGGGATGACTTTTTTGATTTTATATCATTTCACATAAAAAAATAATATCAATCAAGGACCAAGGGATTGCAATGAAATTTCAAAATCTATTAATCTTTGACTAATATAAATATACTCTAGTGGTCTTGATTGATATTTTCCCTTAAATTTTTGTTTAGACTATCTAAACAAATGATTGCAAATACATGGATACATTAACCTAAATACTATTTTAGTAAATTTCATTTTATATTGAAATCACAAGTCCGCTAATCTAGCGCAGCACCAAAATATTTGGTATGGCCTAGTAAAGACAAAGGAATAAATGGTGGTGCACAATGGTGAAACCAAGACTCAAAATCAGGGCACAAGATAATTTAATTTAAAAATTAATAATTTTTTTAAAAATAATAATTATACTATGACTAAAATTGTAATAACTTACATAGATTGATCATCATTTTTCTTTTAAAAAAATTATATTGAATATATTAATATGATATTTTATATAAATATCTTCTTCATTTATTATCTCAATCATTAAAATGTTACATATTTAATAAGTTTTTGAGTCCAAATATTTTTTTTATTTAGTTCAAAGAATGCAAAATATTAAAAGTAAAAGATGTAAAGTTTCAAAATTTACACACCTTAATAATTTTTTTCAAAATGAGGAGGTGCATTTGCCTGTCCTCACAATTAAATAGCTTCACCACTGGCAATGTATATGTACAACCGTTATTGCTTACATTTACTTTTGATTTGACAATAAGGAATTGTTCAAATAAGAGGGATATTAGATCAAAGGATTGATTAATTTTTTTTAACAAATATCTATATTTCCATGTATAATCTATTGTATCTATGTCAATATATATAAGGAACCACATACTATTTATAAATAATAATAGTGTGGCTCATTTGAAATTCTATGTGAATCATAGGTTGCAGCCATATCTTATAAGACATCAATATAGTACCTTTAAGGTTTTCAAATAGTTTCATTAATGTTGGGTTCGGGCAAATGTATAGGGTTTTTTAAATAGAAAAATATATTATTTAATTAATTTATAAATCATGAACGATGTATAGTTCATAGAATTTCCACTCAGTATTAATGATATTGTATTAAATTTTTTAAATATATTTTATTTTGATATTTCTTAACTAATTAACAAAACTAATTAATGTTTTAATTTATATAAAGTTGATAATAAACTTTTATATATACTCCCACCCGATCGTATACAATTCACTTTGTATACAGAGGTGGATAACTTGTATATTACTTGCTTATAATTTTCCTCCTTCACAATCTTCTATATAAGGGTAAGTTGAGAAATATTTTCTATTTTTAAGATAATTATCAATTATCAATAATTTAATTACCTTTCATTTATTGTAGAGAAGTACTAGTTAATTAGAATTCACTTATGTTATGTTTGGACACATATGTATTTGGATTTGAGTCAAATGTATTCTTTGGGTAGTTAAAAATATGTAGATTTGGAAATCCAAATCCTACCTCAATTTTTTTTGCAATTTAAAATCCTTTCTAAACCCTTATTATTTCAACTTTCTATTTAAGTCTCCCTTCCTTCATGTTCATTCATCAACTTCTACTTCACTACCTAGTTGATTTCTACCAGGACTGAACTACTAGTGCTGATCAGAACAAAACAACCGACTTAAATTGGGATCAGACTGCCAACTGGCTTCAACTAGGACTAGACCGTTAGCGTCGACTAAGACCAAACTTCTATTAGGATGTAACCATCGACCCTGATAAGGACTAGATTGCCAGCACTGATCAAGATCAAACAGCTAATTTCCACTAAGATTGGACTGCTGGCGCTGAATGTAACTAGATTGTTAGCGTCGATGGAGATTAGGTCGGTGAATTCAACTAGGATCAAACTATCATCTCCGATTGAGATCAAAAAGCTAATTTCTACAAGGACAGGACTGCCAATGTCGATCGGGACTAGACCATCGGTGTCGCCCAAGACCAAACAGCTAAGTTCCACTAGGACCATACTGCCAACGTCGACTAAGATTGAATGGTCTCATTGCAATCACAGTCAGTCGTCTGATCTCAATCGGCACTAAAGGTCTTATCCCTGTGGAATTCAACTGTTACTCCCAGTGACATTGGTGTCGAGTGTCCAATCTTGATGAAAGTCGGTGGTTCAGTCTTATTGAAAGTAGGCTATTCGATCCTTATTGGCGCTAGTGGTCTGGTCTTGGTCAGCATTGGTTGTCTAGTCTTAATGAAATTTGGCCATTCAATCTTGGTCAACATCAATGGTCAGATCTCAGTTGAATTCAACCACCTTGTCTTGAGTGGCATTAATGGTTCAGTCTCAATCAGTATTGGTTGTTTAGTCCTAGTTGAAGTTGGCTGTCCAATCTTGGTCGACGTTGACAACTCGATCCTGTTCAATACCAGCAGTCTTGTCCTGGGTGTCACTGGCGATCTAGTCTTGGTTGGCACCAGCAGTCCGGTTGAGATTGGACCACTGATGCTTGAGTTGTCTTTAAATTCAAATATAGAATTTGAAATTTAGAATTTTACTTAAGATTCAAACAAATGATTTTAATGTTATAAGTTAAATTTTTTTATATATTCCAAAAAAAGAATTTAAAATACATGAATTTAGAAAATATGAATTTCAAATATAAGATTTCAAATCCAAATTTTTAACCAAAATACACCTATCCAAACGCAAGCTTAGCTTATGCATACATACATGATACATACATACATACATACATACATATAAATGAGACCAAGAGGAGTATTTATATATTGAGAGGGAGGGAGAGACAATAAATATCTTTGAATCTCTTACATTTCATAATATTGAAAATTGAGTTAATTTGGCTGGTTGAACCAATAAATTATTGAACTAGTGCCTTAAATGATTCAATTAAATGCTTTATTAATGATTGATCTAAACATGGTTTAATTATAATTTTGATCATTAATTCTTGAATTAATACCTTGATTGGTTTAATAACCGATTGGCTTTTAGTAGTTTAATACATCTAGAACCCTATGCTTGGAAAGAATAAAAATCAAAGTAGTCTACTTTGTAGGTGAAAGGATTATTTAATTAATTTTGTCTGCGCTGTAAATTGTTTTATTGTGATGATTGGTGGGAAAGCACGTGAATAGAGGTAGGTGCATTATAATTTTTTACCTTATCAGTGTTTGGATTCACGCACCATATGGAAATACTATATGTCAGATTTAATGTATCATGGATTAGTATTCTGCCTTATCATCATTATAGTAATTGATGATTTCCTTTAGAGTTGCTATTTCATTCCATCTTGATTTATTTGTTTTGCCTAGGGATCATGGCACTCTAATAATATATACTACAAGACAATAGTATATTAGTGTTTGGAGAATTAAGAATATAACATCATGCACCGAAATATATTCTCGCATTTTTATATATAAAAAGCTCTGACAAACCCTATTCCATTAGTGGGGTGAATATAATAGTATACTATTATACTTTTGTCTTGCTATTTTTTTTTTATTTTTGGCCAATACTTCTACACTTTGTTTAGTATAAGGGTACAAAGGAAGGATTTTGGTATTCATATTTTCTGCACGGTGATAACTGGCCTTAGGACTGTTATCGTCTTATTACGTGCGTATGATTTGAAATCAAACAGGCAATTCAGCTATTGATATATTATCCTTGACATGTTCGAAACTAATTTAGCTTCTGATTGGCACATGGAAAAGAGATCTTGTTCAAAAACGAATTGCGAATAATATTAATGTAAATAATTGTATAAATAAAGGAATCTCAATTGCAAATCAAACATTTCCTTAAATTGGTTAGAAATACGCGTATATGTCTCTAGCAGTAGTAATTGTGTTAACTATGACTAACAAATAGGAAGTAAAATTAAAGTTTCAATTTCAATGATCATAACTCATAAGGCGCCATTATATCTTGCAGAAGTGTAAACAATGAATTAGTGAGAAAGATCACGTGGAGAGAGAAGAGAGTGAAGAAGGAAGAATGTTTATGGGAAGAAGTAAAAGGAGAAGAGATCAATCAGAATAGGAATCTGCACGTGACCGGGGGGAGTTCATCCGTACACCAACATCGACCAGCTTCGATAACTGCGAACATCTCTCGACTCAAGCCTTTTAATTTGTTTAGCTGTCAATGCCTCCAAACTCTTCTCACGGGCCTCCTTTTCCTCCTGTACAACTTCTTTTTTTTTTTTTTTTGTAGCAAACACCCGTGTCTAGACCTAAGAGCTCCAACTAATCTAAATTGAATCAGGTTTAGAGCCTTTCGGGTAAAAGCTCTAACATCAATGCCGTTGCACCTGTATTAATTTTAGGACTCAAACCTAACATTTTTTATTAAAATGGTATAATTCTCTTTATATTGAACTAAGCGCGAAGTTTTCGCTCTCTACATCTTCTGTTTCACTATTAGGTTTTGGATGGAGAGAAAAGTGAGAGAAAAATAATACTAAGAAGGAAAACCATAAAAAATAGTAAAAAAAATTTCTAGTTTTGACTGTTTTGCCTCCTAGTATTCTTTCTTCCCTATACTTTTCTCCCCATCCAAACTATAGCTAGTTTTCTTTTCTTTCACTTATTTTATCTTTAAAAACTTAACAGGTACTTTGTACATTCAATGTTGATAACCCCAAGTTGTTTTAAGTATCAATCAAACTTAGATATTTTGCATTCCAAACCTTCTATGTCTCACTCACCGAAACTATTAGGCTTTTAAGTATTAATCAAACAAAGCTTCAGCAATATTATAAATCAAATAAATTAAGGTGAAAGACTTTTAATTTCAATCTGATGCCACCGCTGCTCATTTATAACCTTATGCTTTATATATATATATATATATATATATTGCAAGCATCGGGAAATTTAGATTCTCCGCGTTGGGCCACTCTATCGCAAAAAGTGGATATGAAATTTACGTTGAAGACCTTACATCCACAAATGATTAGAGAGTTGTACAAATTGATAGATTAAGCAACGTACACCTTGCATCTGAGAGATGGTAAGCATATGTAATAGAAGAAAATGAAAAGGGTCAAATATGTCATTCATATACAGCAGGCATATATGGCATGTTGTGAGGGCGAAGGAAGGAAACAAACAAGGAATCGCATATATTTTATTTGTGAGCTCTCTCTATAAAGAAAAGCCCTTGTAGCCTCAGATGGGAAAAAGGAGATAAAACCAATACCGAGCAGACAAAAAGAAAGCGATAAGAAGCACAACAGTGAAGAAGAGAAGAAGAAGCATATATGGCTTCGAGGGGGCGAAAGAAAGCTTCTCTCCATCACAAGTTACAGCAACTTCGAGATGTCACAAATTCTAGTGCTGTAATTCACTCTCCATTATTCTATTCAAGAAGTTGGAGCCATATAATTAATTCATTAGTCTCAGGCATTACACAACTTTCTTGTGGAGGTCTAGGATGCTGGATTTGAGATATCTGCCACCCCCTAATGCTCAAAATCTCACCCGTCATCTGAGCTAATAGTTAGAGAAACCTCATTTGATTCCCTAAATGAAGGGTCTAGATTTTGGACACTAAAGGAGGTGACAGATACCAATCCTATGCCAGATGGATTAAAGCTTCCTGTATTTTCTCTTTCTTCCATTAATTCTCGTATAAGTCCAGACATACAAGCTATCATAAACGTGATTAATCAGATTGGTTTTTTGGGTGACTTGTCAGGTGAATAAAGCCTCAATTATTGTGGATGCATCCAAATACATAGAGGAGTTGAAGCAAAAAGTGGAGGGACTCAACGCAGAACTTGGAAGCAGCAGCACTGCTAGTGAATCTTCATCCTCCTCCCAAAATCAATTACCTAAGGTGCTTATAATTTTGTGTGTTTGTGTGTGGATATATATATATGTATGTATGTATATGTATGTATTCTTTCTTAGATAATTTTATATGACATAATAATGCATTGATTAATTAATTGCGTTGCGTTGGATCTGTGTCTTGGGATGATTTGGCAGGTGACAGTGGAAACCCTAGAGAGGGGCTTCCTGATTAATGTGTTTTCTGAAAGGAATTGCCCAGGAATGCTCGTCTCAATACTCGAAGCCTTTGAGGTGCTTGGACTTGAAGTTCTTGATGCTAGGGTTTCTTGTGAAGACGCCTTTCAGCTAGAAGCTGTGGGAGGAGAAGTAAGGGGATAAAATTAATCATATGATATCACCACAATAATCTATACAATTATTTTATTGCTTTCTGTTCGTGATCATTGATTTCTTTCTTCCGGTTTAGTTAATTTCAATATCTGTGACTAAATCATAATTCTAATTATCAATTAAGCTTCCTAGTTTATATATGAGTTCTATAATTTAAGTTAACAAAAAATAAGGTGGAAAAAGAACTTCACGTGTGGGTTGTACTATTATAATTTTCAGCCACAAATTAAAATTTCTGCGCGCTGACACAACAATAGGTGGCTCCCATATATAGATTCATTTGCTCTCTTGTGTAGTTGCATGGCCTGTGCCAGCCAACAAAGGAAACATCTTCATCACTACTTGATAACTTATATTATTGATATATATAAATATATATTATAATTAATTGACAAAATATATCATTTTCTTTTTTGCAGAGTCAAGAGATCGATGACATAGATGCACAAATGGTGAAGCAAGCGGTGCTACAAGCAATAAAGGACATGGAGTGATCAAATTGCCCGTGTTGAGGAAGAAGTAGTGAAAAACTGTTCTTGTGTGATGTTTTCAAGTGTAAAAGTTCGACTTCATTTTAAAAAAAAAAAACGTTAACGTGTAAGAGTTCATATAAATGAGATAATTTACAAGGGTGACACACACACACACACACACAAAATCTGCAAAAGGCAAAAGCCTAAGGGTGTTTCTTCAATAAATGATTCTTATAATAATCCTTATAATTAATCTACTCCACTAAATCCAAAATATAAGATATTTTCTATCATCTAGTGGTGATCCGAGAAGTAGTGTGTGACATTTTGCATAAAGTTAACAACATCATATTCCTTTTTCATAAAGGTCCTTATTAATTATATTGTAAAAAGAGATTATATAAGAAAGAAATAAAAGGCAATTAATATAGATTGACTTAATTGTAAGGTAATCATGAAAAGTAGTGATATATATATATATATATATATATTTACCATTTTAATGATACAAATGACGTTTAACCATACTTCTAACCATTGTGAAGTAGTTAAAAGTGTCATATATTTTGAATTTTTATTAATTGTCCTTATAGATTAATGAACCTAGTTAAAGGTAGCAAGTTTTCATAAAACAGTTACAAATGGAGCCAATTTAACTAGTAAAGGAATTTCAGATAGGGGAAAATAATAAATTAAATAGAAGAAACATCTTTATTTTTCAAAAAGAATTATATTCTAACATTGAGACATTTAGGGCCTGTTTGGTTTTTATTCTCATTTTTTATTTTTTAAAAATATTTTGTAATACAGTTTACAAAATTATTTTAAAAAAAAAATTCTTTTGTTATATCAATTAAAAACAATTTAAAAATTTAAAAATGGACTGGTAGTTATAGTTATAGGCAATTAATGGTAGTGATTAATAACCAAAATTTGTCAAGGTAGCTATAATTTTCAATAATTAAATGTATTGTATTTTAAAAATAAAAAATAAAATAAAAACAACTTGAAGTTGTTTCTATTTTTTATTTTAAAAATAAAAATGAAAACAGTTTTGAAAACAATTAAATAAAAAAATACTTAGCCAAAACAAATTTTAAAGTTTTTCTATTTTCAAAAATAAAAAACAATTTTTAAAAATAGAAAACAAACTGACCCTTACTACACAGGATGCATCGAGAGATGAGTATATGATGCACTCAAGTTAGTTTCCAAATGCCATATTGGGTCTTGACTAATTCAAAATCCAGTTGAACCACATGAATGTAGACTATAGAGCTTTGCTACTAACAATTTTCTCCACATCCAAGACTCAATCTCATAACCCTGTTTAAGAAGAACAAGTACTAAATGTCTTGAACCAATTGTTGGTAAGTGTTTTTACTTAAAATCTATCAATAGATTTTGTTAATTGAATAACATAATAAAGATATAATTATTATTTAATATATCTCATTTCCTATTATTTCACTGCCTCTTACTATTGATCAATCAAGTTAGCAAAATGAAGAGATGTTAGCTGGTGGACGATTGATTAATTATTTATCATAAATCAATACGACTTTAATTATAATGAATTAATTACTTATAATATTTAATTGTAGTATAGAAAAGTTAAATAGAAGAAAATATTAAATACTCTACATATTATGAAGCTGTATTTTTATTATTTTAGACCAAGTGAACTAGAAAGTTAGAAGAGAAAACATTATATTATGAATTGGAGGAGGGTAAACTATCGGACATCTTAGGATAAAGGAGCTTTATATGAATGATTATAGCGAAGGGTACCCGTAAGGGCTAAAGTCCTCCTAACTTTTTAATTTTTTTTTTAAGTAAAATGCAACGAAGGAGGAGTAAACTATTGGTTATCTTTAGATAAAGGAGCTTTATATGGATGACTATGGACAAGGGTGAAGACAAAAGGGATCAGTAAGAGCCACAACCTCCTAACTTTTTAATTCTTTTAATAAAATGTAAGGATATATATTTTTTTACCCTCTAAATTAGCATATTATAGAAGTCATGAAATACTAAATAGAATTCTCATTTTAATTTTATAATAATCTTTACACATGTATAGTCTAACTATTTCAGTAATTTAAAGATATAGTTGTCATATGATTTATTTCTTTTCAACAAAATAATTTACAGTTGTTGTTAAATCATTGATATCATTTGAATTTGCTTTTATTTTATATTTGATGAAAATATAAGAATTATACTAAGAAACTTATCAAGTACTGCAACAAAAATCTTAAAATATATTAAATGTTATGTGTTTGATATTTATAAAAAAAATTACTTATTCAAAAGTTAAAAGATTATGGGTAGGATATATTCTTCTAACAATTACTTTTTTTTTCTAAAATAACCAAGCTATTAAAATTTATTATATGATATTTTTACTATAATATACTTAAATCTCATCAACATAAAAAATTTATAACAATCGACCATCATTACCATATTGATATATTTATTTACTATAATTAAATAGTAATTCAACAAATAAGTGATAGAGTTTTTTAAATTAAACAAAACTTTAGATCTCAAAGATGTATTTAAATTATTTAATACTCATGATAAAGACAAAAACTTCACCAATTTAATGATAATTTATATTAAAAAGAAATTGATAAAAAATTTATCATAGATATAACAATTAATTATTCTTATGTCATGAAAAATTAATGAGTAAAACTTTAAAAATATTTATGTTATATTAGTAATATATATAGATTTAATTTTTTTTATTATCATA